GTCTTTCCTTTCTGAAGCTATTAACAAAACGACACATATTTTGGATTGAACAAGGTTTTATAACACAAATGATACTGTTTTTTTGAAATTCCCTCCATACATACGAATGAAGTATTGTTTGTAAATACCGTACGGCTTTTATCTGTCTCACGAAGTAAATGTCGAATGCGAGTCCAAAGAATAACACAAAAAACATGGCTGACTCAAAAAGACAACGGTGAAATCAATTAAGCCCGCAATCATAACAGATGATCCACAGACTAACTGGCTGGCCCTGCTTGAAAGCATGTCGCTTAATCCCCTGAGGGTCGCCCTGTCTCTATACGCGCTATTAAAAGGGTAAAATTTCGGCCCCGAGGTTTAAATATTCGTGTGGAGACGGAGACACCAACAATGCATTAGCGGAGCCGATTTTCATGGGGGTCGGTCATATTTAGTCCGCGAATCTGTCAGTCCGCATATCAACTTTTTTTCTGTATGCGCTCTACGATTGGGTCCCCATAAATTTAGATCAATCCATCTGGATCGACCCAACTCCCTGGGGGTTCACTCTAAATAGATGCCAGCCGAGCGCGAATGAAAGTTAATTATACCCCTTACAGCTTTTAGTAGGCGGGACAGACATTTAAGACGGCTTAGCTGAATGCAATCTAGTGAGACTCCCCACGAGGATAGATCGATCTAAAATGTGTGGGAATGAAGTCTAATACTACTTACTGGAACGGTGGTTGTTGTGGTCGGTGTGGTGGTGGTTGTGCTGGTGGGAGTAACACCCGCTGGTAGAAAAAAAATGGATTATAAATGCCAATGATTACTTTTGATATACGATTTTATATATCGAACGTTTTCATAACGCATTTTTTTCCGACTCTAATGCCCATTCCGAATTATTCACTTCCGTTCAGAAGAACAATAATGCTGGACCATGCCGTTACCCCCATTTATGAGTTTTACGTTATGCCGGCTATAGGTGAAACAATATTTTAAGCCAAAATCAGGAGTTGCACAGCATTTAACTTATACTAACATTAAAATTTCATCAACTGTACTTTTTGCAAATAAATGCTTGTACTCTCAGAAATACAAAATAAATATCCATAATACCAAAATAAAAATGAAAAAAAAAAATAAATAAATAAATAAAAAAACAGCTCAGACATATAGCCCTTCGTACAAAACAAGATCCAAAAATAGGCCGAGTCAGATAGACTAGGACCTTCTGACTGGCAGTCAGAAACAAATACACATACGTACGTAAGTATCCCAGGCAGTAAACGCCAGCGTCATCGTAACTGCTAGTACCACAGGAATAGGTACTATATACCCCTATCCCGCCGTGTGTACAGTCTGTAAGGTTGCTCTCTGTTCCAAGACAGTCCACATTGTACAGCCAAAAAGAACCACTCCCCTTTGTTGCCCAACCTGAATAAACAAAAATACAGTTTTTGACCACTAAAAAGGCAATCGCTTCTGAAGATTGCAGTTTCTGAAGTAACACAGATTTTGTCTTATTCCTGGAGCTATATCCCTCGTGGAAATTAAAACTGACGTAGGGTGTACGCCAAATGAAACTACCTTCCACGCAGATCGATCCAACTACAGATGGGCTCTTACTCAGTGGAACCAAATTTATCCCATCTAATATATATATATATATATATATATATATATATATATATATATATATATATATTGGGAAATCTTATCATTCTTTATTTTGACTTATCAAAATGACTGAGGTGGCTCATTCTCTCCATAATCGAAGATTATGACTCTTCAGTCTAGTTTTACAGTTATCTGTCAGCTGATATTGTAACTGAACCCATTGTGATATGTATCGATTTCAGTATTAATATTTAAATGGATTCTACAATCTCTAAAATATAAGAAAATACATCAGACACTATAGTACTGCTGCTCGAGAGAATAATTTCGAATTATTATTAATTCATTATTATTTTATTCACATACAAATATTTTACATATACTCTTGCTGTGCAAAAACCTGATACTAACGATTCATATGTTACAGGATATTTATGTTCTCTTTCAAAGTAAAAAATAAAAATAAATAAATAAATAAAACGTCATGCCTTACCTCTTGCACTATTATAATATCCTCTATATCCCAACTGACGACACACAACTGCGGCTTCGGCGCTTCCCCAACCATAGTCACAAATACGCCTCCATACTCCGGCAAACTTTATCTCAACACGGCCGCTGTTGTAGCCGTTACCGTCCATCAGACGAAGCTGGCCATCATCAGCTAGAGATATTAGGATGACATAATACTTGATTGCAATGCCTGTTTACAGTGGTGGATAAAGCTGCGTTTTTTGTTTTGGGGGGGGAGAGGGGGGGGCAGAGGGGGTTACTTACCCCCATTCAATTTCTTCAAAAAATTTCACACCGAAAAAGTATTATCTATAACACTGGACACTTAGGCCACGTGGTGACCGTAGTACTACCAGCAATAACAGCTGTAGTGACAGTTCTCTTAAGATGTCCTTGAGAGAAGAAATATCTCCCAAAAATCTAGCAGTTTTACGTGAGTGTCCGGTATTAGAGTTAATTTTGATTTGTATGTATGGTTTGGTAATGTTAACTGATTTATATTTCTGACAAATGTATTTTTTTTTTCAATTCTTGCCCCACCCCATCCTTTACCGCAATTCTAATTCCATGCACTGCCTCATACTCACGCGCTTCACAGGCGACCCCAGCGTCCGCGGTGAAGGTTGCCGTGCAGAATCCAATACTGGGATACCCTATCCATCCATGCGAACAGGCATCTAGTCGGCTCTCTGTACCAGCACAGCTTAAATTATCTGGAATTGACAGTACATATTATTTGAATCGCCCATCATTTTTCTTGAAGATGTTCCCTAAACCACCAAAACCAAATATAGAGGTGCAATGGAGGTCACAGGCATGCTCTTAAAAATATTCAGTGCCCAGATTGCAAACTATGTTTGATTATTTAAGGGTCCCACACGAAGAAGTTTGTATCAAAGTTTCACTCTCTTGGAACCATGATAATAAAAAATCATCTATCCCCAAAAAGGAACATACATTACTGCCACAAGTGCGAAACGTCCAGCTGTAAAACGTTTTGCTCACTTGTTCTCACTGGTTTTGTTCTTTGATTGATCTCCTACAATTATAATGTTGTAAAAAGTATAATGATATTCTGTAAAGAGCAGTTAGTTTTTGAGCTCATTTAGTTTGCTTGTCACTGAATTTGTAAAAACGGGGAAAATACACCCTACCGACAGTAAAATAAGCGGTAGATAAATTATTATTCCCCTCGTGATCCATATATTACATTAGAAATGTCAAAATATCAAAATGTCAAAACACAATATATTTTTTGCTCAGCAACAGAAAATACCGTTTTCTATTGCATCGAGTACTTGAACAAAATTAAACTTTTTTTGACTTTTTACTGGGGATCTTACGTTACCTAGTATTAGCCATGACGGAAGCCCCTTGAGATACATTTTAAATATTAAGAAAAACGTCCTTACGTCATGTATAATTTACCATGACTGAATGACCCGGAACATATGTTATCATTTAGGACTCTTTGCATAATGTAAAGATATGGTAAAAAAGACAATTAAATTTTAAATTGAGACAGTCGTGGGTTTTTGTTCTATACACATATGTTTTAAAAAAACTGAATGGAACTTTGAATTCATTCAATTTTATTTTTGGACACTTCAGCATGTGAAATACACCTCTATTTTGGGTTTGGGTGAAACACGAATGAATATATAAAGCAAACCAGGAATCTCAATTGCATTCATACATTTCAAAACTAGGTAAATATAACACTTGAATGTCTGTAAACAGATTGGATAATAATCAATAGCTACCAGGCTGACTGACGACATACACAAGTACCTTACAATATCCAGACGGTCAAACAGACAGTTTCTAGCACCAACCAGACAGACGGACATACATTCAATGGGAGAAACAGATAGAGAATAGATTCCAAGCACCACTCAGGCATACAAACAAAATAACAATGGGTTTACCTAGGAGAAATCTGGAAGTTCCCTTGGGTGTCCAACCTGTATAGTACTGCAGCGCTCCACTGAAGCCAAGCTGTCTACAGGCCACTTTGGCGTCATTCAGTGACCATCCATTATCGCACACTCTCCCCCAGTCTCCAGCGTAGAATATCTCAACACGACCAAAATATTGGTTGTGGCCTATCAGTCTGATCTCTCCGTCGTTGGCTGAAGGTGAAGCAAATTGGAAATAAAAGCGAAAATAAAGAATATGCTGCTAAACTATAACCCCGTATAGGCCATTTATAAAAAAAAAAAATAAAGTACATGTAAACTTCATAATGACATACTTCTCATAGGTCAAGTAGCAAAAATGTATATTTGTTTTTGTGTAATATATCAGTAAAAATAGGTCAAGGTTCACCTGAGGTCAAATATGAATCATTTTCGGCGAAAAAAAAATGAATAAAAATAAACCAAAAAAATGTATTTTATAAAAAGAAGGGAATTGAAAACATGAAATAATTTAATTATATCAAATGATTTCGTCTATATTTCAGGGATATGAAGAGATTTTGAGACTAAATTTTGTAAATTGAGGCGTTTATGGAGGACACAAGTACTGGTGTGTGGTTCAATATTCTTAATAATGGAGGGTTGTAGGCAAAAATGGTCAGCATTCCATTGGTTTCCGAGATTTGATTTTTTTTTTTTTTTTTTTTTTTTTTTTTTTTTTTTTTTTTTTTTTATTGTTATTAAAATGAACTGAAAGAACCTCGTCCTATCCCTAAAATATAGGCTATCAACTCACGTCCTTTACACAAAACGCCAGCGTCATCAAAGCCAGTCTCATGACAAAAATTCGGAGTGAGATATCCGATGCCGTCATTGGAGCATTCTGCTAGGGTCGACTCAGATCCCTGACAATCCACATCCTGTATCCAGAATATACCTGGTGTTTGAAAAGAATAATACACTATGATTCACTTTGTCTCATGGTGTTTGCAAAGTCAATGTCTCTTTTATTACGTATTCGACCTGATATCCGAATGCCAATGACCGCCAAGATAACACATTAAATTGCATTATTGCTGCCATCTGATTATAAATACTTTTCATGAGCAAAATGTTCATTAGCTTGGTAGTTGGATCAGGAATGGATATCACCAAACACAGACCGAAATATTTTTCATACCGTTATAACTATAGCTTACGGCCAACCTGGGCCCCGTAACCCGAAAGCATTGTGCATCGTAACCGAGCGCAAACTTCTCGATTCCATAACTCGCCGGGCGGCGCCCATACTCGCCCCATATAATACATTGTAGCCTCTATGTCATATTGCTATTCGCAATACGCGATGATTTCGAGTTACGGGACCCAGGGCGGTGGCCTTAATCAGACTCACTGACCACTTGTTGGGAAGGGGGATTAATCTACCTGACATCTACAGTGTGTATGGGAGGGTCATAGCCATTATACCACCTAGCGGACAAAGAGTGTCAGCATCTGCCCAAGTCAGTCTGATGAAATCCTCATTGTTATAATTCCATATTGTACCTTCAAGTTACAGTACATTTACTTATGTTTGAGGATTATGCTTCATGTGTGTAACTTCAAGTGATCAATTCTAAATTGTGGAATTATCAGTAATTTATAGAAAAAAAGTATCATGTTCAATAAAGCAGGAATATTCTGATATATATATATATATATATTTAGAAATCAATTTTAAGTTATCAATTTTTTAGATATCAATTTTCGGTCGCACAATTGGGGCATCTCTAGATTCTCAAAACGGTTCACATATAGCGATGTAGGTGACCAGGTAATCTGCGGGCAATGCCATTTTTCAATACAATATGGAAATGGATATTTTCACATTTTATGAGATATTCCTTAGAAAATAATTTTGGATATTCACCTGTCCCCCGCGGTGACGTTTCCAGTATCCTTGAGTGGGCTCCGGTAAAACCAAGCTGTTTGCACGCCACGTCAGCGCTAGTCAGGTCCCAGCCATAGTGACAAACCCTCCCCCATCTCCCAGAATAGAAGATCTCCAAGCGACCTTCGAACGCATTTGATGTGTTTACGAGACGCAAGTCCCCGTCACCATCTGAAAACATGAAAAAACCCTCAATTAAAAGAAATTATGGATAATTCATTTATTGTAAAAAACCATGCCCTGCAGTGGCTTACTTGATTCATAGTTATAACGTCATTTAATGGTAATGCACAACAACCCGTTTTCCTCACATAACATTTACGGCGAAGACCAATTTTCTTTTCGTTTTTCTTTTAAGTATGTGCCGCAATCGATCTATGAGATGACCAAAAAGATGAAAATACTATCCTGAGCACTCTTTGCCAGCATGCAAAGCTGCAAGACACAGTTGTATGTCTGTGCCCCACATTTAATTGCTGTTTTAATGACATTTTCGGCCAAGAATTAAAAAGTTTAAAATGCACAGCAATGTTTGGAATCACAGAACTATGCGTTATAGTAAAACTAATCCATTATTTTTTACATAAAAGCATATGACACGCTTTATGTCTTACCACCATGGCATATTACCCCGGCATCGTCGGTATTACTTTGTATGCAATAAACGCTATTAACCTGTCCAACGGCATCATGAGTACATTGGGTTATATTGGACTCTGTTCCCGCACAGCCTACCCCACTAAGCCAGTGTTTAACTGGATAAGACAAATATGTAAATTAAACACACACGTGAAGCAATTCAAGGATATATAGAGTATAGATACATGAGTTAATAATATAAATCATACTACCAAACAGCACGGCAGCCTTTAACGACAAACCGGGTTGAGTCGATCGTCATATTTGGCGTAGTGTACAAATCATTAGTGTACAAATGCACCTACAAGCATCGCCCAACCACAACCCAGCACCGGTACACTGAAGTGCTTCTATAAAAAACGTGATTTTAAAACTTACTTGTGCCTCTGGGGGTCACGGAATATAAAGCTGTATGAGCCCCACTCAATCCAAGTTGCCTGCAAACTACATTGGCATCATTAATGCCCCAGCCCCGGTCACAAACACGTCCCCACTCCCCGGCATAGTACACCTCAATCCGGCCTTCGTAGGGGCTAGTTGTGTTTACCATACGAATGGCACCATCGCCAGCTTCATAGAAGAGAAGAAGTGCTACATGAATAAATCCCATTTTTTAGTTATTTGGTCAGTACATTAGTCATTCCTTTTTAATTAATCATTTTATTTTTAAACATATTGACATAGCTGCTTTAAAAAGGTTTCCTCTTAGTGATTTGATTAGGATACTAGTTAATACATACATACACATTTGATTGTCCCACCTCATGTCTTATGTGCTTTTGCTTACAAATGATTATGCGGCAGCTGCAAACCATTTTGAATAGTTTTTTTTTTTTTTATTCCATATACCAAATTTAAGATATTGGTGAAGATTTGCATATTTTACCAAATTAACTTAAATACGGACCATGCCCCTCCTCAAATATTATTTCCACAGTGATTTTCAGAGAAGTAAAAAATGACCATAAAAGTCAAAAGACACCACCAATAGCCATCAAATTTAGACATAATTGGCATACAAATCTGTTCTTTAAAAGTTGACGAGTGTATGTACAGCGTACTTCAACTCCTGCAGGTGAAACAATATGTCCCAAACTTGAGCTATAGATCTGATTTGCGGGGCATTGCCCCATTCTTCCCGAAGGTCTTGACGGACATGGTAAATGGGGAAAAAAACGCAATTTAAAAAAGGTTAACAGCTGTCATGTGAACAAAAACACATAGGACATAAAGTGGGAGGATATTTTTCGATCAAGTTTGCATACAATTCTCAACCCCCTGCCCCCCCCCCTCCCCCCCCCCCCGTAATGCATTTGTTCTTAAAAACATATACGCAATTACATACGAGATTTGCAGATGACCCCAGCGTCGTCGTAGTGTGAGGTGTCACATAAAAAGCTGATGGAGCCCCAACCATCAGATGTACAGTTGTACAATCCCTCCTCCGTACCGGCGCAGGCGAGACCGGACAACCAAAATGATCCTGTGCCTCTTGGACTATGGCCCCGAAACCCTGTTGGTAAATGGAAATAGGACTTAGTTACTTGCTATTTTAGAGCTGACAGGCTATTCCACGAAAAGGAGCAGAGTTTCAAAACGAGCAATGAAGATTTGTGAAATTTGCAACTCTGGGAAACTGTTTATATTTTAAAAGGAAATGCATTTAGAAAGTAATATGATATATTTTTACCAACACCTTTTCTTTATTTAAACAGATGACCCTGTATGCACTTATAAACATAGTCCTTCTTAGTAACAAAGGTTAGATTACACATTCAATAGGTTATATTTCAATCATGCCAGTTTTTATTTTTGATTCAATAACTAAGGTGTATTAAAATAGTATTACCAATTTAAGATATTGTTTAATAATACAGAAGCTGGCTTTCTTATTTTGGATCATTAGTTTTAGAGATATGGGGGCAGATCTTTTATTGGCAATTTTGCCAAAATATAGCATTTTTTAGCTCTTGAAAAGTTATAATTTTAAATATTCTTTTAAAAAATCATGTACATCATAAGGAATTATTTAGGTAGGCCACATGATAGGTTAAAGAAAGACCTTTAATACCCAGTACAGATTTTTTGAAAAGGCACTGTCATGACCACATAAGGTTGATTCTAACAAGGCATGTTTTCCGTATGCTTGACCCCCTCCCCTTCTTTAAATGCACACAACTTCTTTTTTGCAGGTTGTATTCATATAATTTTGGTATGTGCTGATAGAAAAGGGTTGAAAAATAAATTTTGTAAAATAAAATCTGTGTTAAACCTTGTAAAATAAGAACTATAACAATTTTAAAAAGGGCCAAAAAACGAATATTTTTATACTACTTAAATGCTAAACTGTTTCTTCAACTAAATTAATAAATCAAAACCATGTTTAGGTTTGTGAAAAGCCCTTAAAATAATTATGTTTGCCCTGCAGACGAACTTATGAAGCGAAAATACATTTTTTTTAATTTGTTTATGTTGTAGAAACTAAATGTAAAATAACGATGCTAACTCTGTGACCTATTTTCAACATGGCGGGTACTAGGATTATCACCGGAGCAACTGTGGAGCAAAGCACATCGTCTTCACAGTGTTAAAACATAATACCTACATAAATTTATGAGGAACACGCACTAGAGATGTTTAGGTACATCTCAGAAGGATTGGTGTGCACCAGAATATAACAAGAAATGACCATAGCAGCTGGTCGTCCTTAGAAAGTGCATTTTTTGGTTGAACCACTTCAGACTTATGACTGTTGTCAGGCTTGGGTTCCTCAATATATCCATCTCATCGATTTAGCTCTGGATGTTTGTTGTAAGGTAAGTGATCAGTGGTGGCATACATATACTAGAATCAGATACACTAAAAACTCAAACCAGTTTAAATAATAAATTTGAATATTATTCAGTAATATTGACCCATTAGAGCCTGCGTCATCAAAACAAACGGCAGCCCTTCTGGAGGGAGACCGGAATCGTCTGCTGCGCATGAACAAGCCATGCCTGTAGTTCAGTTTGCGTTTTCTGTATTTTCTTTGATATTTAACCGAGCAAAATGATGAATTACTGCAGGTTATTTGATCGAGAGAAGATAACTAACTTTACAAGCGTTCACAGGCTGCCTGCAGTGGTAACAATCCATGGTGAAGGAACTAAAACCATAAACGGAGGAGAGACGGCGAGGTGGCTTTGAATCAAGACTCTTCGGAAAAGTAAAGGATAAAACTAATTTATTTTATAGCAAAGAATGGAGAGCCAGC